CTGGGAGATAACAAGGGCATGAGTGACTGTTCGCAGGGCATCCCGATCCAGGAAAGGGCGTAACTGGTGCACAACCCGAATTTATATTAATTATAAGTTATTAACACAGTCAGAATTTGGCTATAGGAATCAGATTTTGAGGGAGAACTAACCAAAGATGAATGAAAAGGAATACAGAAAAACCCATTCTTAGGTTCCCTTTCAAGATCTTTGTAGGAAACGCATATACAGAGTTTACACTGTTGCATCTTACTGCAGTTACTATCTCATACTGTGCTGAGCAAGCCCCCATTCACTTGCCCCACACAGGCAAGCAGGCAAGCTGTTCCCATAATCACCCCAGATGGCCAACATGGTGATCATCAGCACCTTTGCATCTTAGAGCACACCTGATAACGCTTATATCAAGGGAATGACCCACAGGTCCCACTTTTTGGCTACAGAGAACAGAATTTTAGTCATTTTGGTATCCCAGGATCAAAAAAGTAGGACAGAAGTATTTTTTGTCCAAAACCAAAAGAGTTTCCCTAGCCCCCATGCATTCTGCTTTATAATAAGCTTTGTCTTGAGATTTGGATGCAAAGCTGAAGGGAATGAGAAAGCAGATCTAGAGGAGGTCTGAGGGAGATCCTAAGCAGGTGGATCTCTGGGAGAAGCACAGATGGAGGCAGTGTTTTGGTAAATGTCTGTGAAATCTGGGGGAGGGGGAGGGAGCTAAATGAAACCTGCTTGCTCTGGGAGAGAGGTCTCTGGTAGGAGAGACCCCTGGGAGAAACAGATGGAAGCAAGTCACTGGAAACATCTCTGTGGAAAGGAGACAGTCTGTAACAGAACCAGGAAGCCGTAGAAACCTTTTCTGCAGGAAGCCATTTGTCTCCAAGGTTTAGGTAAACAAGTGCAGCTAGAACTCTCCTTCAGGATTTAATGCCTTATTTTAATCTGTGTCTTCCAATTAAATACTGTAATGTCTCCATTACAGTATTTTTGCATGGTTCTCACTGTTGTTGTTCAGTCGTTAAGTCGTGTCCAACTCTTCGTGACCCCATGAACCATATTGCAC